TTACTAAAAGAATGGGTTATACAAAATTATTATTTTCGTAATTCAATTATTTTTAAAAAAAAAGCTCAAGTCTAATAACATAATAAAAATGTTTTAGTGATATTTTGGGCCTAAAAAATAATTCAATGGCAAGGGATGTAAATAAATTGATTCATTAAGGGTAATATAGGCAAAGCAAGTCTTAAACTCACTGTGGAGACGACACGTAGGATTTTCGACCTCACAATTATAAATATAGATATATTTTGTTTTATATAATTTTGTTGAGAGCACTTCTAAAAATCTTAGATGGAGATGCTCGTAAGTAATTAAACAAGATTAGTATAATATGACCCGTACTCAGAGCCTGTCCTGGTAATTTTAGGGGCCCAAGCTAAAAAAATTTATGGCCCATTAAACCAGTAAATTAAAAAAAAAAAAACATATTGCATAGATGAGAATCGAACTCCTTCCTTAAAATCCCCACCAAAATTGGCCCTTACAACTAGACTATTGACAACTTATTACTAGTTAGCCGCTTGTAAAATACATATTGGAAATCACTTGCTTGTGTCCAGAGCCGGCTATGCCCGTACTTAACTATAATGATGACTTTTAAAGTCGTTAAGATACTATTAGTGGCGACGATAGAAGCCGAGCCGTCCTATATGTGACAAAACACGTCGATTACATCTCCATCTTCAAGCTCAAGCTGCAATCGTTTACTTTTCTCAATTTGGTTCATACATATAAATATTATATATCGGAGTAATAAATTCTTTAGAAAAAGCAAAAGATAAATACCTCATTGGAAGTTTGATTGGGTTTGATCCTAATTCCATCGAAGCAAAAGACGAAGCTCGACGTTACTTCTCCATTTCTTTGGGAAAATGCTTCCATAATCGTATGTAGCCCAACGTCCCTCTTAACCCGGAAGTACTCACACTTGTTATCCTGTTTTTTATTTTACAAGAATTTTAATCTATACGTTTACTCAGCATATATACACATTTGAATTAATCATTTTAGGTTAAATAATAGTACGATTGATACGGAAATCTACACTATTCTTATCTGAAAAAACATTGAACTTTAGTGATACTATAATTGTTTTCTTTGTCACTCTTAAAAACACTAAAACCCTAACACTGGCATCTAAATTCAATGAACTTTTTTCTTTTTTTTTGTACTAGAAAGATAATCTTGTTTTCACAAAAGCAGAATAAAAAGTGCTTTTTACATAACTACGTTAATAAGATTATCCCTTTTTAAGTTT